CTCTATAAAAAAGGTGTAGTTACGTAACGGAAGTGTAGTTAAATGTAAATTTGATGAACATAAAGTAGGCCTCCCTTTCCGCACGTCTCATCCGCGATAATTCCATATTTCTGTCAATTTGTGGGCTTTGGTAAATATATCAAACCTCCCCAATCCACGCACCATCAATCATTTTTCCACATGTAGAAATTTCATCGGATCGAATCTGACAAGAACAAAACATGTTTTCTCTCTGACAGTAGTTAGTGTTCCGTCCTGCATTGTTTTCCAGTGAACAATGTTCCAAAAATTAAATTAAATTAAAGTCACAATTGAAATTAATGATGCGAAATGGGATGAAAATGCGGTGAAAATAATGCGTACGGACCAAAAAGTAGGGAAACAGCTGGATTTGGAAAGCAAGAAATAAGTATGAAGATCTGAACCTCGGGGTATAAATAAATGGGGAAAAAGAAGATATAAGTTTTGGACAAAGATTTATGCACACTTTCTTCATTCCATTATTGTTGGACGGAGACCTTTCTCAGTGTGACTGGAGACTTTCTTGGTTCTTATTCCTATTCAAAAGTCATTTCGACTTTGACAGGAAAATCAATCAGATTATGTATTTTCTACTTTTCCACGAGAGAGAGATTTCCTCTCTCCCTCACTTTTATCCAAAGAATTATTCAATTTCAATCCAGTCCCCGACCGCGCGGACTCATTTGTAAAAGTTTACATTACAGGAGGGAGAAAAGAAGAAGCAGTGAAATTATCCCGAGAATAAGAGTCACCTTGAATACGCAGCGAAATGATATGGTATTGTTAGATTTTGCCATTTTGTCGTCGCGAAAAGGAAATAAATGGTGTCATATGACATGTCATTCGTGTCGTGTAATTCTGACATTTTGACACCAAGTCGGCATCATGGGTGACATTTCAAACGTATGGTCTAGCTGGGTGGCTTGGCTCGCATTGTGTGGCATGGCATCTTATTGGAATTCATCGTCTTACACAACCTGAAGCCATTTTACTCTCTCTCTGTGTAATAATAGGGGACAGATTTCCTGATATAAAAATTTGGCCACCACTCTAATCTAAATTTTTATTAGTTCTGACACTCATGACTTGTCACGTGTTAATTTATGAGGTGAATATATGGACCCAATCCTTTAATTGGTTTTCGTGGGATGGAGATTATCCAGCAGGATTAGGCTAACTACTTCCCAACTAAATGTGGAAAAGGCCAGGAGAAGGTCGCATATTATGATTTCCACTGTGCTTCCAGGCTCGGAAGTGATTTGATCGGATGCGAGGTGAAACATGGAATAACATTTATTTCACATCCCACACACCGAAATCAGATTAACCCATGGTGCCGTGGATGATGGTACTTGTGCATGGGCTGGATGCATGCCTGTCCTGGCCCCATTTAAAATTCAATCCGCCTCACCAACCATCCATAAGCCAGTAACTGATTTAAATATGAGGTTGACGAAGCTCGAGTATATATTTAGAGAGTCGACTTTCTCTCTCCGTCGTAATCCTCGTCCTCCTCTTTGTTCTATCTCCCAGCCCGGCCTCGTCTCCCAACGCAATCTTTCCGCCCTTCTTCTTCTTCTCGTGGCGCACATTTCAATATAAAATCCCCAAACCACACCAGCCAAATTACGAACGAAGAGACGTTTCTCTCCCCAGATATTTTTTATAGCAATATTATTTCCCTGAGAGAGAGGCAAACTTATGGATGAATATACACGGAAGCGGAGTGAAATGTGGGGTTGTTGCTTCACTTGGACTGACCCGACACAGATTGACGGGTTGAGTTTTACTCATAAATCTTTGAATTAGTCACACACCACACCACGAACGAGTAACCTATAGCCTCTCCTCCTCGAGAGAAAGTAATCGTGGCGGTGGATTTATCTATCTCGTCCAAATTTGGATACATCAAGGAAGCACCGAACGATGCAAGATTTTTGGAAATGCTCGAAAATTCTGAGATCCACCACCACCAGCGTCAAGACCAGACCACGACGGAAAAGAGAAAGCACAAAACCCACTCTACTTTCTCTCCTCTCATGATTACACTTTGTTTGTAAGTGAGTGAGCGATCCATCCATCTAACCACGACCACGCACCATCTCTTCGTCAACACCCTGCGGCGATTAAAACTCAAGTTTCACACCAACCAACAAAAACTAACGATTTTGTCCAGATGTTATATCCTCCTTCCGAGGAAAACACAGTTTTGCTCTCAATTTTGTCAGAATTAGGGTTTTTTTCTCGAAATAAAAAACAACAACAAAGATCCAGATAATCCGTTCTGATTCTCAGCCACACTTTTTTTCTTACAACTCCATCTTCTCCTTACACACTTAGTATTTATCTCGTTTACAAAATTCGCCACAAAATTTATACCCAAGTCGACTACTGAACTGATTAACGAAGAAACGATACCAAGATTTACTTTCCTGGTAAATATTTACCCTTCCACTTTCACTTTTTTCTTACAAAAAGTTTCCCAAACAAAAGCTGATTCTTATATGCACACATACTCTAAAAGTAAGTAAGTAAGTAAACGGTGAAAGTTTTTATTTACAAGTTGCAATCCGGCAGACAGCCTGTTTTTGTTGGTACGGGCGGAGGGAAGAAAAAGTGCGAGAAAAAGGAGAGTCAGTCAAGTCGTATAAGATGAATAAAGTCGTATAAAATATGTTCTCCTCCTTCCACGGAGGTGTCAACATCAACATTTTATTTCCTCTCAGCAAACTTTTCCCCACTGACGGGCCAGCCGTCCTCCCCAGCCTCTCATTTGCCCCTTCTTCTCGTCGTCCAGACCCGCCAAGCATGTCGTAAACTGGGGAATAAAATAAAACACAAAACAAACAGATTACTTTAAACAACTGCCAGCCAACTAAATACAACTTCAAAGCAGAGTCAAGGGTGTGGACACGTTGACATGAGTCGCGTACTTATCTGTCTACGTGCGTACCTATTTTCTTTGTTGTTTAATTAATTAGAGGAATTTACGCCTCGCCAATTACTACATTATGTGAGGAGATGAAACAGGTTTTTAATTGTGTTTCTTTAAATAGCAGTAAAATAAAAGGGACATATTTATTTTGAGATTTTAACGCGTAGGTAGAGGAGGCCAAGGTGACTTTTCTCGTATATTTTTGAAAATTTGTCTACCGGAAAGGGTGACAATGGTGGGAAAAATATAGAAAATCAGCCAAAGGGAAACCAAACACAAAGTGAAATGCAGTCGTAATTTCTCAGTTTGATCGCGATGTTTCTTGATGAACACGTACATATAAAAAATTGTTCGCCGCTGCAACCACGTCCCACGGTCCGTGATGCACACAAACACAAAGACATCCATACGAAACAGGGTGAAGAAGAAAAAAGAAGTGGGCGCAGTGAAATTGGAGTTGTTGTTGAGGAACGAGATATATATTTCTTTCGGATTGAGATGGAGGGACCGTGCGACGAAGAAATAGGAAAGCAAAAATCTAGTCCGTTTCGTCCGGAGTGCAAAATTGGTTCGTTTGTTTACTTTTGAAGGAACGTTTCCCAATCGGTCTCTGGTTTGTGGATGGATCTTTCTTTCTCTCTTTATTGCATTGTATTGCAATGTTGTGTAACCAACCTGGTGGAAGAAAGTGGTGGATCAGTCACTCACTCCCTCCCTCCATATAAATATATACAATAGTGTCGTGTTGGAGTTGTTGGAGAGACCCAATTTTTTGTGGGGATTCGCCTCGTTGATCTCCTGAAGAATGGATTTCCTGACTAAAGTCAAGTCGAGTTCTTGATGGTTCAAGTTTAGTCAAAAGAGGGAAAAAATGGAAAGGATTTTTTCACGTCCAGACTCCTGTCCGACCAAATCTTGATGCAACAAAGCTAGCCTTGTTTAAAATTAAGGACAATCAATTCTGCTTCTCTCTCTCTCTTAACCGGAAGTTGTAGAAATTATATATAAAACTTTAATAAATTTGGGGCTACGACTTCCCCCATAAAGTAGAGGATACGGATGGGATGGACCTATCCCCTTCGGTATCTCTCCCATAAGGCTGATCAGATCTGACAAGTTGACTACTACTGCCCCGTCAGCAGTTAGTTCTCTGTTGCTCTTCTTAACAGACTCAGTCAATCAGGACGTTTGCCTCCTCATGCCAAGTCTCCTTTCCTCTGTTTTTTTCTTAGTCTGGACTCGCTGAAGAATGACCACTTTCACATACGTTTTAAATTTTAGTGGTGATTCTGTGCAGAAAAAGTGGACTGGACAGCTGCCCTGTCGCGTTTATGTTATTCTCACTCTAAACGCTCCTCCTGAACGAATTGACCTCTCAGTAAAAAAACTGCTTTCACTCACTACGCATCCATCTCATGGGGGAAAAGTGGAGGAGGAATGAAACTTGTCCTCTCTTCTGCATGCATACCATCCATTAATAAATACTCGACTTAAATATTTAAACTTTTTTTTTGCACCCAAGTGGAACTAACCAACACAAGTTATCCTATTTCTTATCTGCGACTGACCTATGGAAAAGTTGGTTGGTGGAAAAGTTTATTTTTTTATATCCTTCCTTCCTTCCACCTTGTAAAACCTTGACTCAACGTGACTTTGGAGAAGAGAAGAGAGAAAACCGTCTTAAAGTTTTATCTACATTTGGCAGAAAGCACCCAACTTTTCTGGGATTAATCTTCTCCTTTAATCTACTTGATCTTTTACCATTTGGAACTATTTCCGAAGGGATTTGTCCCCTTCTTGTACAATGGATTGTGTCGGATTGTGTGTGTGACTGTGCAATCCTGCTTTCACCAGCTCGGGACTAGACCACTCTCACGTATTGAGTGGAGAGAAGAATGAAGAGACAGGCCACCACAAGAGACCAACAACAGGCGTATGTACAACAATGGTAGTTTTCACAGGACAGGAACCAGGTGCACTATGTCTAGCGAAGCCCATAATTGGATGGAATGCAGTAAATATAATGCACGCGTAAAACTATGTCTTTGCAGAAATAACTCGGGTTACACAAGCCCGCTTCTCTAGATTTATTTGTGGTTTACAAATAATTAATCGGTAGGAGGATGAGGAGGGGACGGATTTTGGGAGGATGGCGACGATAACTATAATAAATTGGCAAAACACCCACAACATTCGCAGCGAAGTAATCCGCTTAGGGTTGGTCTGCGTGAATTGAAATACGAATTCTCACACGGTCGCTCGTCAGCCACCACCCAACTAAAATAAAGGCAGCGTCCGTTGCTTATTTAATTTTGTACGAGAGCTATGTATTTTCTTAACAGCGATCGGGATGATTTTCTTGGTCCGAGGAGGAGGACACGAGGTAGACGTGCGTCTGCCACTGGGCCCTCTTCAGTTTCTTGGTGTAGGAGTAGATCACATAAAACATGGCAAAGCGGATGACCGGTTCTACTAAAAATGAACCCACTCCGATCAACGTTTCTTTGCTCAGGGAGGAAAAGTAGATGAATTGGATCCCTTTAACGAAGAGGTTCACGAGGGCTAAGTTCATCCAGTGGTAGCAGAACGTGGTAGATTTCTGGGAAAATTAGTATTTATGATGCATAAATATAATTTGCAAATTTTTTGCATGTGAATACCTCGCAAATTCCGAACAGGAGTAAAACAGCGAACACGAGTCCTGTAGCCAAATACACGAGGTAGAGGCTGATGAGTACGATCCCAAACTTTGAGGGGGCAGAGGACGATATGCTCAAAAACCCTAAATCTGCAAAAAGAAAGTTGCATAAATTAAACTAATTTAAACCCCTCTCCCACTCTTTCTTCTCGCAACAATGGTTTTATTTCATTGTGTGTGTGTGCATGTGGACCTAATAAAGTCTGCCTTTCATCATGCGAAAGATTATTATGATTCATTGTCAAGTAGGAGATGAAAAAGAGTCCCATTCCAATCCCCACGGAGTGGAGGAACTATTGTCAAAAATACAAATTTAATCAAGAAATCCATCAACCTTTCTCCCTGGATTCAATTACCACTCACCATATCAAACACGGCGACCGTCAGGGCCGCCATTGTGTGACCGGTCGAAGGTAATCGAGACTCGTGGCGGTGTAATGATGCTGATGGCAACCTTTTCAATCCACTCACGTCCAATTTCGACATTTTTTTTCTCCGTGGAAAATATAATTTCCGATGGGAATTTACACGTTTCACGTGTCACAGGTCACCTTCTGAGATCTCATTTCACAAAATTAGGACGCCTCTCCAGCGATTGTCCAAGTAATAAAAAATTTTAATGAGACTGTTTGATGTGCAAATTACAATGTTGACCGACATCTGATAACGAGTGCGTATGCATTTTCTCACCAAACTATGTATGACTAATTCTTGTTCCTGAGTCAGGTACATTGCTGCCTTAGTTTTTCAGGTACATGTGATCAGTCACGATAAGATAAGATAAGAACAAGTTCTGCCCAAAGCACATGCCTGAATTATGCTCTACTGCTGCATCTCCTCTATCTCCTCAGTGTTGGCAAACACATTAAAAATCCATTTCACTTTTACAACCGGACATGAAAAGCATGCTTTGCTCGACTCATATTTAGTATCCTCGAGGACGTATTGTTTTAGGTACTAGTAATTATTGGCGCAACTCAAATAATAATCCTTTGTTGAAGGGTCAACAGATATCATTTATTACAAATTGGTTCGAAAAGCATGACACATAAAATATTTATGTTGGTAGAAATAAGTTCATTTTAGGAAAGTACTAATCACATTTCTTAAAATGTATGCAAGATTGATAAAACTGTGTGAAATTTCGAGATAACGAACTCCTACCCACGCGATTATGTCGACTCAAGGACGAAAGTGATACTCTCTGCTTACCTAAAAGTCATCCGTTTCACGTATAACGCGATAACGCCATTTTCTCCCTGCATAACTATACACCCAGCAAAACTTAAGAATTCTCAGCTTCATTACAAACAAATTAGCCGAGACGCGAGACACCTTTTCCTTAATTTCTCACCACCACAGCGCTCCGCTTGTCGCCATGTTCTGCTCCATCGTCTTGGTACAAAATTCATTTGCATGAAGTAGCAACTGTTACATAAAGTGTCGCCATGTTGTATAATGCGTATCATCATGTGATGGATGAGGGTGTAAAATTTGCATATTAATCCCGTTGTAAGTCGACCTTCCTCCCTCCTCCTACTCCTGTTTAGCTTAATCCCTTGTTAAAAAGTGGGCTTGGGAAATTAGGGAAAACTGTGACACCACCACGTCAGACTGTGCGACGTCAGAATGCTGAATTTATGTGACTACATTTTCCCTGCTGGTATAAATATAGGGAGGAAATTTCAATACTCATTATTTGGGATCGATGAGTCTCAAATTTAGCGAAAAAAAAGATTCTGGAGTCTCGTGATAAGGAAAGCTGGGAACCGAGTAAAGTAAATCTGACCATGTCACCTCAGAGCTCGTGGTGATCTGGCCTGACGCGATATCATCATCAAATCACGGGGACAAAGAACAGCACCAGACATTCGGCCGCACACACGGAATTCTGGTGGTTCAACTTACACTTTCTCCTTTATCTCTCACCACCTCACTTTCTGTCTTGTAGTCGGACTCCACCAACCGCCATCACCTCCACCCGGGTAAATATCCGGACACTGCTTTCTTTCCACACCTTTACAATAAACTCGGTAGCACTGTTCATTCTAAGGAATTTGTACTTGGTTTGAATTTTTGCATCGTTTGCGAAAAATGAGGTTTCGCATAAAGTGCCACGACGACCGACGTGTTGGAGAAAGCCACATTTACTTCTGGGCGTATGTATATTCGTTCCGTTGTCATCATCTGGTGCGGAATTTCATGGTGTAAAATAAATTAGACCATTTCTCCAATGTCCTTCCCTCCCATCCTTCTGCTGTATTAGTCTCCGTAAGTGATGTGATGCATGGTTGGCAACATCTGCATCTCTCTCTCCCTCTCTTTGGACTTTCTCTTTAACGCCACAAGTTGCAAAATTGGGAAAAAAGGAGAAAACCGGATAAATAAATCCTTCGAATTTTCCCCGTTCCAGACTGTTACCCTGACACACAATAATAACTTTGTTGGGGTGCTGACTACACAAATTTTGCACAGTTTGTTCAATATCGTCATAGTCATGATCTCCCCCCATTCACATAAAGCAAAGTATGAATGTATGCATGCATGCAAAGCCAAACAAACTAAAGCACCACCATCACGATGATAAATAAGCGACGGATTCAAATCCAATCCATCCATCCATCCGTTTCTTGTCGGGATTTAATAACTTGCTGTTTCCTAGATGAGAATGTGTCACGTTTTACCCAGTAATTGAATAAAGTTTGGAGAATGCTGATTTTTTTTCAAGAGTGAGCTCAGACATCACAAGAGATGAAGCGTTTTATTACGTTTTTCATACAAACAGAGTACCGAGAGAGAGAGGAAAAGTTGTGTGGATGGATGCAAGCTCATCCACGTCTCGGCCCGATTTGTCTTATCTTCAAGGAAGTAAGGGCAAGTTGGATGGTTGGGAGCATATGCAATTGTCATCTGGCTGGGTGCTGCTGCTGCTGCTTATTCTTCTCCGAGTGGAATTAGGTGACAGCATGTTGCATTATGACTGTTTTCTTCTCTCTCATCCGGCTGAGTTATGGCTCTCAAAGGGAGAAGAAGGTTGAACGTGAACGTCGACGTCGTCCAGCACTTGACACCCAGAAAGCATCCAAATTCCTCCTCAAGTAATCTGTCTCCTTCTTCAGATTAGAATTGCAATCGGGATCGCATATACGTACGGAGCAGTGAGCAGTCTGGCCGTGGCGGTGGTGGTGAGGATGCAGTCACTCCACAGACTTTCTCTCCACTCATTCCTTACTCCTTTTAATGTAATTGTCGCAGTGGGAATTGCTTAAAACGTGACGTGATTTTGATCCTTCTTCCCGTATTTTATGGGAATGTGGAGCACTTTCTCTCTCTTCTAAGAGAACTTTCTCCTTTTGAAGCTAAAATCGGGCCAAAATAATGCCTACTTAACGCGACACACGGGGCAACAACTTTCACTTATATTTAGCAAGTTTTAATAAAATTATTAGGTAATAAATAAACATAGACGAGTAAGTTTGTCCTCCCATTTCTTAATACCTCACCTTCTTGGCTTGGCTGCTGTCAGGGTAGGGGACCATTTAATACTTCCAACTCTATTCCTTTGGCGTGTGATGTTTGATGATGATGGTGAAAGTGGGCAAAGTTTGTTCACTTGCTGGTGCCTTGGATTTTGCTGCTGGTGATCTTGGCTCCCTTTCCCACATTCCTTTCCCAAGAACCATCATGTACCACCAAGTCGTCGTAGTCTGGGGCTGGTGGTGGTGGGACGAAGAGCAGCAGATAATGTATCGATTTTACTTACTTTACTCGACTTCACTTGTTTGGTTTTCGAGGAGAAAGCTGACTTTCTCCCACGGTCCAGTGACCACAGTACTACCATCACCACCACCACCACCACGGGCAACACCAACCTTGGCTGACTGTGGAATCCTCACACTTGCAAAGTTTTCTTTGGAAACCTTGAATCTCTTCATTGAATTGAATCGCTATTTGCATTTCACACTTTAAGCTTTGTCGGTTGGTTGGCCGTGAAATCTTCAAATTTCGAAATACATACACAACCTTCTTAAATTTAAGGATAAAATTAGTACATTTATTTTACCTTGAGAGATTTTGTTTTTTTACGATTCGCCATAAAAAAAGCTGGAAAAGGAATTCGGTGAAGCAAAATCCTGGCGAAAAACCGGTGGTGGTTCCGCCCATAAATAGACAAGTTTTTGTGAAGGAATAGTAAAATGCTTCATAAAAATTTAAATCTTTTCGACCAAACTTTCACATCTTGTGTTCTTTTTTTTGCTTGCTCTGCAGCAGCACAAAAATTTCTTCTCTGCTGCGTTTCAAGTTTTAATCTTATCCTATAAGTGATGCAGTTTGGTGGTCTACAAGGTTTTGCACATATTGGCTGTCTTACCCGGTCTTATCTCACTTTCTGGTCCAGCCTTCGAGATTGATTTCGTATTCGATCCGATTATCCGGCAGCAAAAATAAGGCTGAGACTAGAATAGAATTTGGGGTGCGCTCAGTTATAAATTCTGTTTGGGTGGTGAGATGGGTGGGAATAATTTAGCGGGTGAAATAGATTGTCGGACTTTTTTGCGAGATAAAAACATGATTTGTTTTATAGTTAGTTGCCATGCCATGAGTATAAGTGAGACAGACGCGATATTGATGATTGACGAGACGATGATGAGATAATGGTGGATGGGTGCACTCTTAGAAAACTGGGATTCAATCGTTACTGACCCGAGTATAACTCTACCGGCACTGGTAATAAGGGGAATTACCGTTCAGTAACGAAAAATCTACCACTCAGAAACAAACTGTTACCAATTTGGTAGAAAGTTATTACCAAATAAATACCAGAGCGGAATTTGTATGTAACTCTACCTCATTTTTAGCAGTGCCGGTTGCTGGGAGAGGAGCTGTATTATTTTTATGATGGCATAGATTTCAGCGAATTGTGTAACCAATACTGACGGGTGACTGGATTCCATGCAGAATATTTTCTTCCACAGACTTTCTCCTGGCTGTTCTGACAAATTCTTGTCAAAAGTCGAACTTGCCTTGGAGCAGCCGTGGTGTTGGTCTGATCTGATTAATAATTAGCTCTAATTCACCCCGAGGAGGAAGTTTGTTTCATAATTGATGCCTTTTATCACTTGCTCGTCCTCGTTGCTCATCTCGCTGGCCTGCGACTCCACCCCGGAAGCTTAACAAGTCATTAGCACTTAATTTATTATTAGGAATTATTATCCCATTAGCGAAGAAACCATGTGTTATAGGTAATTTCTTACAATTACTGGATCCGGACAGAAATTTATATTGATCGCGTATCGTACTGGATTTGGAATAATCGGCTATATTTAACTATACCAGTACGTATGCCATTCACAGCTCCCCAAACTTTCCCTCATTATAATTTCTGTTAATTATGATACTTTTAAAATCAGCCTGCAGACATGTTGAATAAATAACATTACGGAAAAATACAACATTGATAGAATTACAATGGTATGAATTTCCCTACTTTTCCCAGCAAATTCTTTGTGTTGGATAACTTTATGTTGGATAACATCACGTCATAACAGTGCACAACTAACAAACTTTTTTCATTAGTGATTGAACAGCAAATCACTGATAGTCAGCAAGCAAACCTTGAATCCTACCAGGGGTTCGCTTACCATACATAAATAATTTATTAGTTTGAAAACTAGGCCACATTTGAAGAGGAATTATGCACTGCGTACATATTTTACAAATGTGGGACCCAGTGAAAATATTAATTTTGCTTTCACCACCAACCACTTCAGCCTGTTGTTGGAATCGTTTTCAAAACACAAACCCAGAGCCAATCTTCAATCGTCGGAATTCCTTTCACGATACCATCTGTTTGTCCATCCACGTTGGGCGATTGCGAGAGGAGAGAAAGTGAAGGA